AGATTAGGGTGTTCTAGCCTCATAACACCTTGCATGCACGTAAAGTTAGCAACTTTACGTGCAATGCTAGCATAAGGAGTCCAGATCTATGAGTTGGAAGTGTTGGAATAGACTGAAATCGACAGAATAGAGTTGTCACAAGGAGGACTCGGCGAGTCAGCTCATGGACTCGTCGAGTCGGGTCGCAAAACCCAAACCCTTCTGTTTATGAGTCGGATCAGTGAGTGGGGTTAGAGAAGGACTCAGCCAGTCTGTGCCCGTGATGGGCATGAAGATCATGGTACTCGACGAGTTCAAGGAGGAACTCGGCGAGTCCAAGGCAATCTCCTTAGCCGATGAAGATGGACTCGGCGAGTTGTAGAACAACTCGGCGAGTCGGTTGAAGATAGTCCCGAAGTGTTAGATGAAGGAGAACCCGTCGAGTTCTCGCTAGACTCGACGAGTGGAGTCGGGGTTGTTTGGGATTTGAGGAGCATGGACTCGGCGAGTTGGTAGAACAACTCGGCGAGTCGAGTCAACTGGAAGGTTGACTTTGACCAGGACCTTGACCAGAGTTGACTTGGTTGACCTCTGGAGGACAGTTTAGGCTAAGTTCTATTATTTGGTGTTGGTAGCTCGGTGAGCTAGGAGTCCAGCGCTTCAGAGAATAGTCGATTAGCAGCCAGAGGATTATCAGCAGAGTTCATCAGTACAGGTGAGTTTCCTTCCAGTAGGAACGGGTCTACGGCCACAATGCCGGCCCGTTTAGTTAGCAGTAGTTCCGGACTTCGGTCTGATGCAGTAGTTCAGGGTGCTTGATGTCTTTGTGATTCAAGCATGTCTTGTGTTATGTGTTCCGGACTTCGGTCTGACGCAGTATGCAGTATATGTGTTTATGCTAGTAGTTATGATTATGCTATGCTATGTTCAGTCAGTTCCGGACTTCGGTCCGATGCAGAGGGCAAGGCCCTGGTTAGTTCCGGACTTCGGTCTGATGCAGTTTCCGGAATTCGGTCTGATGCAGAGGGCAAGGCCCTGGTTAGTTCCAGACTTCGGTCCGATGTAGTTTCCGGACTACGGTCCGATGCAGAGGGCAAGGCCCTGGTTAGTTCCGGACTTCGGTCCGATGCAGTTTCCGGACTTCGGTCTGATGCAGTGGGCAAGGCCCAGTAGTTGCTTTATATGTTACAATATGGTATGTAGTAGTTTGGGGGAGCTCACTAAGCTTTGTGCTTACATTTTCAGTTTTGGTTTCAGGTATCTCCGCTAGCAAGGGGAAGAGCTCGGGATGATGGCATGGCACATACCACAGTTACAGTTTAGCCTGGGAGATTGACTCTGATATTTTAGATATGGTTTTGATACTAGTTTTGATTGATATTTTATTATGACATTTGAGACGCACGATTCATGGTTTTATCGTATGACATATTATATTGTGGGTTTTTAGTAATATTGAAACAAAAATTTTTGGGTTGTATTTTTGGGATGTTACAATGGAGCTTTGGTAGGCTATGGTGCCGATTTAGACCCGGAGTCGACAATAATGTGGCGACGATGACGTACATTGGTGGCTGGCGGTGGGTGGTTTTTTCCCACCACCAATGGTTGTTGAACCTCGGTGAGCATCATCATCATCATCGAACCCACCATGAAACACCACCCTCCTACCTGTTTCTCCACTGCCCCAAACGTGCAACACCACTGCCACCCTATAGCTCCGTCGACCACCCTTTAATCACCTATTAACCACCGATGCTACCATCTCAAAACCACTTCCTTACACGTCACCCTTGTTCACCGTTATGGGTTTTGTGAGGACTGTCAATTATCGATTTCAAGATCTTGTACATGGATAAACGAGAAGAAAACACACATACACAACTCGATTATGGACTATGTGTATGTGTTCATCATCGATGTGCAGGTATGTGTATATGTGTGTGTTCTCATAAATACATTTCTTGGATGCCTTAGTAGATTTTAAGGTTGTAGGAGAGAGAGAGAGAGAGAGAGAGAGAGAGAGAGAGAGAGAGGTGGACCCTCTTATTTTTTTTCATTGTTTAAATAAATAAATAAGTATTAGATTTAAAAAAATGAAAATAAATAGAAAATAAATGCCCGAAGGGTATTAAAGTCATTCAAGTTTATTGAGGGATCAAATCTGCAACGAAACTAACTCAAAAGGACCACAAAGCCAAAAAAGTCGAGGTTTGGACTAAACCTCAGAAAAAATGCTTACCATAGGGACCATTTTTGAAGTTTTATCTCTCTCTCTCTCTCTCTCTCTCTCTCTCTCTCTCTCTATATATATATATATATATATATATATATATATATATATATATATATATATATATATATAACGTGACAATAAGAGTATTGAAATTCTAATTCACTTTTTGAACCTTCCACCAAGTTGGAAGTCGGTGTTGATATTTTTAGTAGTTCGGCCACACTTTCTTAATAGGACCTACTACGTTTATCGTTCAACAACACCATCTACCGTTAGGGGCTCTGCTCCTTTAACCTTGCAACGAGAGCAACCCCTTGACCCCTTTTATTCCGTTGTTGTATTTGGGATCAAACTCATCTTATACACAAATGTGGACTACATACTACCTAACTTATTTTAGATCATAGTTCAAATCTTCGTTGACACTCATGTGAATTTCAATTAAATTAAATTGTGGGTGACATGGCAATCATCACAAGAGGATTCACAAAAAGTTAAACATTAGGAAAACTTAACCAACATTTTCACCGAAACAAACCACTAGCAAAATCAAGATCAAATGTAGTTTGGAATGCAATCTTGAATTTTATTAAAAAAACATCTCAACATATTATAGATTAGTTGTACAGTCTTGACGAAAGGAGTCAAGGACCACCTTAAAAACAAAGTAATATTTCAGAAGGAAAAACATGGTGTAGATATTTTTACATATGATTTAAATATAAATTAGGTATAATCAAACAGTAAAAATTAGGGTTAAGAAAAAAATTGGTCACTTAACTTTTGACTTTGTATTATTTTGATCATTTAACTCGTTCTAAGTTTAAAAATGTGAGTAAATTTGTTAATGTTTGTCAAAATGGTCGCTATACAACAAGTTTCCCTGTTTTATTTGGCTATCTAGGTCACTAAACTTTATTTTTGGCTATTTAAGCTCATTGGATTTTTTAGGCAATAATTAGTTACTGAACTTTTAAAATTGTGTTTAGTCAGTATTATATATTTTTTTTCACAATCCGTTTTCACAACTTCATGTTACTTTGTTTTTCCCGTTTTTATTTCTCAAAACCCATTTTCACAACTTCATTTTTTTCTTCGCTTTTATATGTTTTCTCATAATATGTTTTTATAACGTTATATATTTACTTCGGTTTTATATGGTATTAGAGTTCTATTCAATCCATGGTTGTAGAATACTTTGTAGAAGACACAACTATCATGGATCGAACCACATATCGACCTCTTCATCGTAATTCACTTTTCTATACTATTCACCGTAGTTTCTAGTTTCGATCTTTTTTTGTTGGGTATGCTTTTTTATCTCATTATTATTTAATTGTCGTTGTTGGGTCATTTGTTCTTTGTTCTATTCTCGTTTTTTTTGTTGTTGGTGTTATTTTGTTGTTAGATTGTATGTGCTTGATTATTGGCATTATGTATCCAAAAGATGATTTTCTTCAGTCTATTAGTACCTAACTTTATAAGATCCCTGATTGAGATTGATTAACATTGATTAACAGAAGGATAAACAACAAGAGTTTATCACAAAGGTTTTTCACTAAAAAAGTTCTCACCAAGAGAAAAAGCACAAAGTTAGGGTTCATGAATTGGTAAATTACACGAACCCCGAATACATGGTTTTATAGTAAAAGCTAGGTGGTATCAATCCCTACAAATCATGGATTTCACATAATCTAAGTAAATACATAGTATATCCGATATCCATAAGATATCAGATCTGCTAACTAACTATTTATGTGTATATATACAAAACATCATCACGATGACATTGGCTATATCGGTTAAGTCTTCACGTTGGCGCTGATGGATGTCAGTATGACCCAATTTTACTTTATTAGATTCGAAGGTTTGACCTTACAAACTTGATAATAAGAACTATGTTAAGAAGTTATGTAATGGTGAATTTTTATGTAAGAAACATATATATGGTATTGTTACTTATATACTAGCCGTTATATGAGAAATTGTCATTGGATGCACGAGAAAAGGACCATTCTAATATTATCACTCGGATCAATAATTATGTAGTTCAGTTAATTGACACTTAATTGATGAAGTAAATATATGAAGCAATAAAAGTAAACTATGAAAAAACATATAAAAACAAGACAAAATTGCAAAAATGGTATCTGTGCTTGTCAAAATTATGTGGTTTTGGTTCAAAAAAGACCGATGGTGCATCAATGGTCCAGTTTTGGATACCTTGTGTGGTTTTGGTCCATATGACTGATATTTTTGTGTGATTTTGGTTCACACCCAAACTGAAATGACGAATATGCCCTTAAAATTGTTTTTAAATTTCTTTTTATCTATTTTATTAATATTTCTTATTTTTTTATTAAATAAACTAAAATAATTTCCCACGCAGCCCCATATAAGTCATCAAGCCCAATACCCCCTCCCCCTCTCTCGATCTTCCTTCTTTTTACTCTCTGTAGACATAACCTCCACCACCGGCCTTGCCTTCGACGATGACAACAACCCCACCTCCCACCGCCTAAACTCCAAATTTCTCATCGCTGAACTACTTCCTTCCATCGCCACAATATGAGTCTATCGGAGCTAGTGTTTGCACCAAACGATTTAGGGTTTTCGATGATTAATTGTGGTGAAGTCTGAGAGGAATCCGAAAACTATAGTGGTTCATCATCGCCCACCCTAAAAAACTCTGATGACATGACAGTAGCTTTAAACACAAATGCAAACTACAGTGATGTGATTAACCTCCAATCGCCGCTTCTTCGGTACCAACACTGTCCCATCCATGCTTGTTCATCAGCTCCCACCTGCGAGTTCATCACCATCATCTTATTTACCTATCTATTCTTTGAAACGTGAATCAAATAAAAAAGATGTAGGTTCTGGTTTAGGTTTCTTTTGGGTTTCAGGTTTTACTTCCAGCTTCATACACTTGTGAATTTTTGTTTCTAGGGTTTTGATTTCATCCTTGATTTTGATTTTAATTAATGGAATTTTTATGGGCATGATATGCGAGTTTAATTTGTAGGTTTGAGCACCCCTTCCATTTATTTGGGCACTAAGTGTGATTTTTGGGAAATGAATATGATTTTTGGGCACTTGGTTTAGATTTGGTCAAGAATGGGAGCTGGTGTTGGTGGTTTCCGGCTATAGAGGTGAAAGAGAGAACGTTGGGATGTGTTGGGCTATTTTTTTTAAATTTCTGAATAAGTAAGGATTACAATAATTAAAATATAGAAAAAATAAAATATAAAGACATAATAGTATTTTCAAACTGATAGAGACCAAAAACACTAGAAAGATCTAAAATTGGACCATTGGTACACCTTAAAAACTTTTTTAACCAAAACTACATAATTTTGACAAATAAAAAGATCATTTTTGCATTTTTGTCTAAAGACAAAGATATTAATGAAATTGTAAAAATGGATTTCGAAAAAAAAAAACATGAAAATGAAGTAAAAAAATGTAGTCAACGAAATGTGCAAAAGAAAAAAGCAGTGAAAAATGAAGTTTTGATACGACTTGTGAAAAAAAAACATATACAAACAAAATAAAAAATATAATTATAAAAATGAATTTTGAAAAACATATAAGAATAAAATAAAAATAAAACTGTAAAAACGAATACAAAAAATACAAAAATAATAAACATAATTTCAAAAGTTAAATGATTAATTATAGTCCAAACAATCAAATGACCTTAAAATAACCAAAAATAATAATAATAATAATAATTACCATTTAAGCCCAAAAAAAAATACCTATTATTGCCTGTCATAATAAGTAACTATTTTGGCAAAAATTAAAAAATTTAATAGCCTTTTAAAACTTAAAATTATTAAATAATACCTTAATAGTGTTACTGTGTTAGTATTTTTTTGGTTGAAAATTGAAATCTTTTTCGGAACATATTTTTTAGAGATAAATTTTTATTTTAATTTTTTTAAATTTTAAATTTTAAATTATAAAGATAACAATTAACAAATATCCGATAATGATGATTAGAAGCTTAGCTGTTTGAGTAGAAGGTTTTAGGGTTTTAGTTCACCCCTAAAACCTCTTTTGCTCTCTACATTCATCTTCTAAATCGACACACATGGAATCCACTTTCCTTTCTTGAAAAACCATTAATGTATATATGGAGATTAAAGAGATTACCTTAATTGTATTTGTCATATATAATTAATGTGTGTATATATATATACAAATTTCTTAATCGTCCTTTCAATCTCGTCTAGGGTTTTCTCAGTTTTATTTATCGTCGCCGATTCTTATCTGCCTGTTCTTGAGTCGCCAGGAAAGCTCGTTGATCATCGGCAATTTTTTGCAGGTTAGATTTTAATGTTTTTAAGAAAAATATTGCTTATATATACGCCACAAGCTTGTTGTCCCTACTAACTTATTTTTTGAAATTGACATTTTCTTTTTCATTCGCAAACCTATAAATTGTCTTTAATCATCACCATTATTACCAGATTAACGTTTTTTAAGCAAAACTTTTTCTGTGTTTTCAGTTATAAACCCAATTTTTATACAATCAATCTTAAGAATTTCAAGAAAATCTAACTCTTGAATTTACAAGCGATTTTACCAATCTCTGAAGATCTTTTGACTGATTTTTTAATTTTCTTTCGGCAAAATGTATGATGGGTTTTTAGTAATAACCCTGTTATATTTAATTTTTTTTTTTACAACAATCTTGAATTTGAAAATCTTCTGTTTTATAAAGATTTGTATGCCCTTTTCTTAATGTTACTCTGTTTCTTGTTTTAAGATTATTTTCCTCTTGATGTTATTCCGTTTAATCTTCATGTACTAAATGTCCCCAATTTTTTTAAGACTTAAAAACATATGATTTGATAAAAAAAAAAGGGTTCATTTTTTTTTTATCGTTTTCACACCATGTAATTATCGCATTGTGTTTATATTGTCTTGATCTTTCTCTAACTTCAATTCCTGATCATTTTATGTCACAGTTCCATTAATTATTAACCAAACAACTCACAATGATCCAACACCCTGTTCTTGGAGGCAACAATGGTGGAGCCGAAGTCAACACAAACCCACAAAAGTCAACACCTTTATTACCCCCTATAAACAGAGGAACCACTCACATATTCTACAAAACTCGAATATGTCAGAAGTTTCTAGAAGGAAACTGTAGAAATGGTGACAGCTGTACTTTTGCTCATGGCTCTAAAGATTTACGTGAACCCCCACCTAATTGGCCAGATCTTGTTAAAGATAACCGAGGGCAAAATTGGAATGATGACCAAAGAATCATACACCAAATGAGGATATGTCACAAGTTTGTCAACACAGGTGAATGCCCTTATGGAGAAAAATGTAATTTCCTCCATGAAAATCCTGCAAAATTCAAGGCTCAAACAGAAAGAACAAGAGATAGTTCTGTGATCAAGATTCAGACTTTGGTTGACCGTGGTCAACCCAATGGAAGTCAACAACGGTTGCATAATAATATTAATAACATGAATGCTATTAAAGTTAGTACTTTGAGTAGTGATCCTAATGCTACATTTTGGAAAACTCGAATTTGTAGCAAATGGGAAACAACAGGGCAATGTGTATTTGGAGATAAATGTCATTTTGCTCATGGGATTTCAGGTATAAAAATATACATCTATTTACACTCTTTTTTAATCGTATTATTTACATATAAGTTTAAATATTGGATACGATAGAAAGTATATTGCTATTTTTGCATTTAGCGCTTGATTAAATGAAAAAGATACGAGCTTTAATATTATTGTTCTGTTTTCATTATTCTTGTTGACTTTTGTGGTTGACTATTTTAGATTCTTGTTATGTTTTCAAGTGTATTTATTGATATGTGTTTTTTCTTTTATTGTTTTTATTTTTTAGAATTAAACACACCGGTTGCACGCGTGGAGGTTCAAGGTTTCATTGCCGCCAGTTCGGCTGAACTGCCGCCTAGTAATTCTGCCATGGCTGGTCCTTTAGAACAAGGTGAAGGAAGGGGGTTTGCAAAGTTGAGATTATCAAATAAGAAGATCAACCGAATTTATGGAGATTGGATTGATGATGAAGAAGATGAGCAAGATTATTAAGTATGAGCCAGAAGACCAACAATCTAGTTATCTTTTATATACATGATGATTGATTGATCTTTTATGGTGTTTTGTTTAATTAGATGAAAAGCGATTTTATGTCAAATATGTGGGATTTGATGATTCTTTCTCCCAAAGGGATGAAACTCGTATACATGTCTTTTTTGCTATTGCTCTATTTATAGAAAACTACAAGAAATTCTCATTAAAAAAAGGTTGTCTTTTTTAAAATATTGTTATTGAAACTTGTTTGGAGTTGGTTTTTCTTTATTAGACATGATTTTAGGATGACTTGACATGAGGACGATGGTAACAAATACACTTTCTTGGTTTTTGATCATCGAGAGTAAGACTTGTACTATGTGTAAAGGAAACTATAAATTGTTCTCAAATAGATAATGTTTATTCTTTAGAAGATCTAACGTTGCTTACCCTTTATATAGAGAAATCATTCTACATAAACAACAATCAAAATCTATTTTAGAATGGTGTTCTTTTATTAGTTTTATCATCACTTTATATCATAATTTATTGTTTCCCCAAACCCATAACATGGTTAATTTGTAACAACCGTAGTATCATGTGATGGGTACAACATGTATTCAACCACAACTCCACTTTCGGGATGTAGAATTGACTATTGAGTTGTGGAGTATGATGATTGCCGATGATAAGAGATACAAGATTGGTGGTTACGGGTGTAACATAAAAGAAGAGTTGATTATAACCAATCTTTTCTCCAATAATGAAGAAGACTCTAATCAGGTTAGTCTTGAGTATTTTGGTTTTAGAAGTCTTACATTTGGAACACTTACATGTTAAGACGACATTCTTATATGGAGACCTTAAAGAAGGAATCTACATGGCACACCTTAAAGGATTATAGATAGCTGGAAAATAAAAGATGTGCAAAATACAGAAAAATGTGTTCGGACCGAAGCAAACACGGAAGCAAAAATAGTTGGAGTTTGATAGCTTTATTGAAACATTCATTTTTCTAAATAATATATTTCTTATTAAAAAATCCATAAATTTAATAGAACATTCAAATAAACATAAGGTGTTAAACATAAACATGAAATCGTAAATAATCTTTATAATGTTTGCTCAAAAGCTAAATAAAATAAAGAGCCTTAAAAATGTTGTATGGAAGTCTTAAAAACCATAATAGTATAAAATTCATGGTGCAGAAGCTTGTAGCAGTCAGGTCAAACTCTTTTTCTTAACAAACCATTAGAATACCTGAAAAATATTAAATATCAACGAGTAAGTGAAACGATTAGTGAACACACTTAGCTATACATTTTATCATATGGACACGTAAGCACATAAACACATAAGCATGTAACTTTCCCCTTACCCCTAACAGGAACAAGGCTATGTAACTATTTCCCCGTGCCTCTAACAAGAACAAGGCCATGTAACTTTCCCCGTTGTCTCCAACGAGAACAAAGTTATGTCCTTACAAGGAGGCTATGCCAAACATATCATCATATCAAACAACAAGTACATGCCACAAAAACACAATATTACATATAGAGTAGTGTAGCTCACTTGAATAATATATAAACTGTCAAATATAACTAAATACTAAGATGGCACAACAAACACGACTCAACCTACAAAAACTACAATTAATTTATTTGATCACATCAACTATTCTTTACTTTATTCCCTCATACTTTACAATTATATGTTTTCGGATCCTACATGAAGCAGTTGTTGTCCTACTATTTTGACCCATTTAAGTTCTAATTTATGCACCGACTCCAAAAGATAAAATGAAGTATTCCCTATTACCTTTATAAGGCAACATCTGCAAGCTATCTAATACAGTTTTGACAACTTTGGACAGAACTCATTGTTTGCCCTTCTTAGACTTGGAATCTGATTATGTCCAAATATGAATAAAATTAGACATCCATACCTTTCATATAGCCTTGACCTCACCCACAAATGATTATTATATAACTTCTTATGATATTTACTAAACAATGTTCAAACTATAACTTTGATGATCCAATTCCTTTTTTTTCATTATCACCCAACCTTACAGTTACGGTTTTGACACACACACACACACACACACACATATACATGCTTTCAGATACAATAATATACACAACGGGAGAATGATACTTACCCAAGAGTAATGAGATCAAGTATAGCATGTGTAAACCTTGCACCAAAACACGCTTTCTCTCTTTCCTTGCACTTATTACCGTCGACTTTTGGGAAAAGGGGTGAAAGGGTTTGTCTGTGACATTTTAGGAGGGGGGAAGGATTAGTTTAGGGTTTAATTAGACAAACATGAGGGCATTATATTAATCTCCCAAGGCTTGTCTCTTGCACCCTACTAGTCCTTAATTACAAAAGCCTACACTACAACCCCTAAAATTAACACCTTATAATTCTAAGTGCACTAACAAAAAAAAGCTGAAATTAAAATAAAACAAGGCATTATATTTATGTAGATGAATGACTACATGTGATGTGAAATGAACAACTATTTCTACTTTAATAGCTTTAGTTCATCTAATAATGTATTATTGTAATATGTTGACGACATTTTGGTAGTTGGATATGACATGAGGGGTATCAACTTAAAGATGCAATTGTCTTCAGATGTTGAGATGGAAGATATAAGCAACACAAGACAAATACTTCGCATCGACATAATCAAATATAGAGCATGATGTACCTTGGAATTTTCCCAAAATAAGGGCATTAAAAAAGTGTTGGAAAAGTTCATTCTAAATGATGAAAGAGCTATACGTACATCTTCAGATAGTCACCTAAAACTTATAAAGATATAATCACCACATCCGGATGAAGACAATAAAAAGATGGTTGAAGTTCTTTATGCATAAATAGTGAGTAGTTTGATTTATAATTTGGTATGCAGGAGGAAAAAATATTTGCTCATACAATAGAAGTTTTAGCATGTTATATGTCAAATCCAAGAAAAGAGAACCAAGAAGTAGCCGAGTTATTGATACGCTGCTTTAAAGGAACTTAGATGTTTGTAAGAACCCAAAATTTAGAGAGATTTGACTTTTGGTGAACAATTGACCACAAGGGTAATTTGATTATTTAGAGGAATTTCATGAATTAAGAAATGCAAGAGATGGTACATTTAGACCATAAAAGGTAAAATGAGAATTTTATGCTTTTTGGGCCAAGTTTGTGACTTAATAGATTAAGACTTGTATGTAGTCTATCAGAAATGACTTAATGGAGTTGTAGAAATCATCCCTACCTTCGCGTGGATATAAAGATCATAGAAAACGAGTTTAAAATGAAGGAGTTATGAGTGTTAAAAGATTAGAAGAAAAATGTCCCAAAGTTGGAATGAAATCAGCTAAGCAGCTGTTGTAGTGTAGGCACCACAAAGTGAAAATAATTTTTCCACGATGCAGTTTGTGAAACGGTAATATGGACGAAAGTTTTATAGTAAGTTGAGGGCAATTTACTTTGCATCGCGGCGTGGTATATAGGTACGCGACGTGGTGGAGAAAGTAGGAAGTTATAAGAGAAAGGCACCACGAATCAGTAAGAAGGAGACCGCAACTAAATAGAGAGCACTACAAAACAATAGGCATGCTGCCGTTACGTGGTTAATTTCACACATCAGTAAAAAAGTTGAAGTCTATTAAGTGTTCATTCTCGACCAAAAACTCCTCAAATCGGTTTGGAGCTGCAAGATGGCGATTTTAAACCCAAGAGCATGCCAAGATGAGATAGATATGGAGGATTTCAAGGATTAACATCCTCTTCCCCCTTGAGGTAATGATTTTTTCTTTTTCTCAAGCAATGAGCTTTAATGGTGAAATTGTTATTTTGGTTAGATTGTTTGAGTTAATAGGATTATAAGTCAATTAATATGTTATTGAAAGTATTTAGAAGCTTTGAAAAGGATTTGTATGTGATTTCCAAGGTGAAATCCATATATGGAAAGTTAGGGTTTGAAAACATAACTAGAAGAGAGATGAATTGATGCAATAGAGCTCAGAGTGTAATGAATTAGGTAGTATGGGATGCTTAATTCATTGGGTAAAATAGATTTAGAGGTAGAAGATGAGATGTTAAAGTTATAATCAATTAAGTGATCATTTTGATATGGAGAGTAGTTAAGCTCTTAATAGGCTAAGACAAGTTCTAAAGAGCTTGATATTTTGTATGAATAGGCCTTGAGCAAAGAAGATGGATCAAGATGTTGGGTTTTGAGTATTACAACATTCCTATGTGCACATGCAACCCTAATTGCTTTGGATCTAGGTTTTTCTCAAGTTATACATGCAAATTAATTTTCCAAAGCAAGAACCCTAGATCTACTATATAAAACCGAAATCTAATCATATTAGTGTTTAAAAGAATACCTTTCTTGTTAGCTAGTAGTAACAAGTAATCCCCACTTCAATTCCTTGACCTTTGAAAGCCTAGTGCCCCAAGTGTTGCACCTCTAATGGAGTCACAAACACCACAAGCAAAGAATGAGAGAGAGGGAGTAAGAAATCGACTAGGGTTTCTCTTAGAAGGTAGGCAAGCCGATTTCATGAGGCTATGGATCCCTTTTATAGTTAAGGCTGCTAAGGTTTACAACTGGAAACCCTAATTCCCTTGCTTAGGCCCTAAGCAATCCATGAACCCCCATATGATAGGCCTTGGACGAAAACTCTATGGGCTTCCCTTAGATTTTCGTCCACTCCTTATCAGTAGAGTCCAATAGCCCAAAACTACAACTATTACTGATTTGCATAATCAGATCCCGTTCTTTTAATCAGTTCCTTTGATCACTAAATTAATTCCAAATTAATTTCTGACCAATACTAATTAAAATAATATGATTTCTCAATTAATATATTATTCCTATAATATATTAATAAACCATTAGTTAACCTCTTACTCCAAAACTCATCCTGTCCAGTTGCTATGGTGAAGGCAACCCAAAAGGACCATACTACAATCAAATCAAGTACATACCAGTTATAGTTATGGGCTTAGACACCTAATCCAACAGTCTCCCACTTGGATAAGTCTAATAACTGTAACTGCAAGTACAACTTCAAAATCTGATTAGCAATCGTAGCTTTCAAAAGCCGCTGTCGAACTCTGACCTAGTCAATGACGCGTCCTTTAGATAAGGGATCATATAATCCTCTGTCCCGCAAGATATCGTGTGGACAAAGACATGGAAC